CAATCCCTGCAATTTATTGAATTCTACTTCCTGCTATAGTAGGCAAAGGCTTTGACTTCACCCAAGCTGAAGATTGTTTCCTTAAGGATGAGGATCTTTCCAGAAAATCCTGAAGCCCCAGGTATGTATGAGAACTGTCAGGAAGGATCCTCTACCAACCTTTCTGATGCATCACTGAAACCCAAACCCATCCTTTTCAGAATGACATTCTGAGGAGATTTTATTACCTGGCTAATTGAGTGCACCAGTCACACTTGCTATAAATCTTTGCTTGATAATTTTTTTCATAACTAAAGACATGAAAAAATAAAAACATCCTAAGTGGATTCTACCAGTAGCAAACAGGGCATGGAGACTTTCTCAGTATAAACTCCTGCAACTAATACAGTAAAGTTTTATTGAGTCCCAAGGATCAACACAGTCAAGTTTTGTTCCTGCTGTACATAAGTAGCCAGATTTGGTCACTGTAATGAGCAGAACTGGCTTGAGCCTCACATTCAGCATGTCCAAGTGCATCTCTGGACACATGAGCTGGTAGCGAATGCCAAGATCCGTCATTCAGGCAAGCCACTGCAGACTCAGACATCATAAAAAAGAAAGCCAAAGAGGGCTCTGAAGCAATTCAGCATTAAAATCTTGTGCTTCCTGTCTGCAGCTTAATTATTCATCTTTCTACCGCAGGTTCTCAGAAGCAAATCTCAACCGCAAACTCAAACAGTACAATAATCAAACGGCTTAGAGAACCTTCACTAAATATCAGCACTGGGAACATTCCCTGGGGAGTGCTGAAAGACCATCAGATCAGAGAGAAAAAGAAGTCTGTCCCAAAGCCTGGCATGAAAAACTGCTGTTCTCCTGAGTTGTACCTCTTCCAGCTGGACTTGCAGGTCTCAGCAGCCCAGAAAATCAGCCCACCATATCTCCCTAATGATACTACTAACTGCAGCGACAGCTTTAAAAACCAGTCAAACTTTTAAATACAATTTTTCATTACTTTCTTGGTTAGTGATCAGTAAAGCAAACCATACTGTGGAATGAGAGGGGAAAGTAAAGAGGAAAGCAAACCCGAAGGAGGAGCACAACTGAGTTCCCCCAGGAGTGGGAAACAGCTCCTCCACCATTTCTGGCCAGCCCAATGCTCTCTCTGAACCATTCACACCCAGCTCATGGATCTTCTCTCCCCCACTCCCTTTCCCAGCACATCTGCTGACAATCCATGTGCTAAAACCTTGGAAAAAACATAACACAGGTTTGCAGTGACAACATTGTCTCAGGGGGGGCTGCCTGAGCTGGGAGGGAATCAAGGTGTGATAATAAGACAAATGGTGTCTACAGCCACAGAAGCAGAAAAGGGTGGAATAATCACCGTAGCCTCCCTACTTGTGGATGCAGCAGAGCTGCCCAGCTCTGGGACAGGGCAAATTCAGGATTTCAGGGCTGCAGTTTTTCTGAGATGAGCAGAGGGGAAAAGGGAATATAGCAAATCAAGCTGGTTTGATGATTTAGTTGATTATACTGCACATTGCATAATCATGCAGGGATTTTTGTGATTGGTTTTAAACTAAATGTCTCTCTGAGGGATAGTAATATGAGGATGAAACTTATGCACTTAGTGGAATATATATATATATCTATATATATCTATATATATACACACATATATATACATACAGTGTAGGTGTAAAGCATTAAGACACTTAAAACCAGCTTCCAGAATTGCAATATGCAGTACATTAAAATAACTAAAGGAGTAAAATTTAAAGGGGAATTCATTAATGTATGAAATAGAAAAGATTACACTAAACAACTTCAGCTAGTTCAGAATAAAAGTTACTGTAATAATGGTATCTTACACCACAGAGGGCTGCAAACTCCAGCTTGCCTTTGCTGCTGTTTCAAGCACTCATTTCTTTCCAAACCACAAGGAGAAATTATCTTACCTGCTGGAGAAACAGACATCCCCACAAACACAAGCGCTTGGGATGTAAGCTTTGGCAGATAAACATTTTAACAGTGACTTTATCAGTTACAGCAAAAACTCACATAGGCAAAGAATATGATATTTAAGTTGCACCTGAGCCCTCCAAGTAACACATACACTCCCCAAAAAAACAAATCCTTCATGGGCTCTGCTTCACTGAGATTATTTTTAATGCTTAAGAGTTACATCTCCAGTAAGCTCCATCTTTCATTTCCGCTTGTTTTACTTCGGCCTTACCTTCTCTCTGAAGGTTCACACTTTACATGAAAAGAACCAACCAGAACTAACCAGTATTTTAACTCCTCAGACACAGTGAGGTATTTATTGCTACATGTGCTGTCAGATTGTGTCTGACAGTCAGGCAGAGAGGAGGAGGATTTGCACTGGTGTAATCAAGGTTTTAAAAAAAGGTGTTTATTGGGCAAAAGTTGACACAAAATAACTGTAACTAGCATGGAATAATGTTTCTTGCATCAAAACATAAAAAAATTTATTCTGAACACAACCAGCCCATTTGAAATTGTGCCAAATCAATCAACTTGGTCTTTGCCCAAATACTCTGGAGAAAGCAAGCAGAGAGGGCTTGGACATAACATTTCTTTCAAAGTACGAGCTGCTGACTCACACATGCAGATTTACTCTCAATGTATCTTTTGAGCCACCAAACACAAAAGCCTAACAGAAGTTCTGGCTTAAAGTAAAGTGACAAACAGGTTCTAACAGCAGGTAGAAAGTCACTGTGAAGGGGGCAGCAACACCCTTGTTTTCCCTCTGGAAAACAGCAGCTGGCCCCTAACCTCCAGCCAGCCCCAAAGTAATGATGAATCACCATCTTCTTGTAGTGTTTAAAGTTTTGTTTTAAACAGGTTGGATGGGAGCTCTGGAATATGAATAATTATGATCACATGAATCAGTTCTCACACACCATATGATTACTCTTTGAGAAAAAAAAAAATCTGTTTAGAATTAAAAATGTGACAGTTCCTGGCAACAGAAGATTGCTTTTTCTTGTCAGGAACTGCATTTTGGGGAACAGAGGGTTCTAGTACTGCACAGCCTCACTTATCTATATAGCACTGCCTGGAGCCATCACAGGAGCCCAGGGACTGCTTGAAGGCCTGAAGAATACAGGAAAAAATGTCAGCTTCACCTCCTTAAAGAAGGGCACAACAACCAATTTTATTAAGTGTAAACAAATTAAATACTGTGGACAGTACTGCAATATTCAAGTTAAGCAGACACACAGACAAACTCCTCACTTCTTTACAAAGGAAAACAGCACACATCAGAAGGGGATCATATGCACTACACATTTTATTAAAAATGCAATTGTACTTAACTTTATATCAAACAGTTTTAGCATATGAAACTAAAATGATGGACCAACACACATGTTACCAACATGCAGGATCTGTACCAAACCACACAGGATTATTACAAGGAACAAGGCCACCTGGGATCTGATGCAGCCCAAATCTCTCAGTTCCTTTGGGAGAGGGAATCAGAGCTGGCCCCTTGCTCCCCCCTGAGCAGCCCTTTCCACAGAACAGTTCTCTTGGTTCAGATGAACTGCCTCATTCCAGCCTCCCTTCCTGCCACACTGCCATCCCTGCTTTGTTCCCCAGAGCTCCTCTACTCCTTCCTCTGTTCTTTCTGATTCAAACCCACCATCATTCCTCTCTACTCATTCCTGAACTTCTCAGCAAGTCCTTAAATGCTCCACAATGCTTCTCTAATGCATCAGCTCAGGAACAGCTTGGCTTAGTCGGAATAGGAGCAAACAAATCAAAACGTCTTAGACAAGAGAGCTGTGAACAGCTACATTCACAAAGGGTGGGTGAGGAAATCCTTAAGAGTAGCTCCACATTATCCCTCCTGGTGCTTCTTCAGATCTGCTTCTCCCAAAAGTCAAATGCTTTAAGCTTAGTCCAGCAGCAACAGCCAAGACACAAAATTGCCTTTAATTTTCTGTGTGTGCAGAGAATTTTTCAGTATCAAGGGGCTGACCTAAAGAAGTATATGGGTTGTTAAGAGAGAACTGTTAATTACCAATACTATTTTAGTCTCTTGGACTCACCAGAGCATTACAAGTAAAGCCTGAGTCACTGTAGTTATTAAATACCTTTGGTTAGCTGCTGCTTCTGTCCTGAGTGTCAGGGTTCATGCTACAGCAGCAGGCCTGACCTCTTCTGAGGAAATTCAACTCAGTATGCTTAAGAGCAGGATACTGGTGGCATCTGCATAGCCATTAGTGAAATCATCCCATCAAGGATTTATCTCCTCTTGCTGCTTATCTGGAGCCTTTATTAGAAAACGATGAATTAAAATTAATTGGAATTAGCATCAAGATTGCTGTCACATTTTAGTAATAAGAATCAGCATGCACAGCATTTCAGTTTGGAGACCATAAAGTTCTGCAAGAGCACACTGAGCCAAGCAGCAGGCAAGCTCAGTTTGTACTCCAGCACAGAGGGATGCTGCAGGAGGAGGGCTGAGTGCTCTGCCTGCCCCACACAGCCAGAGCAGGAGAAGTCCCATTCCTTGTGCCCTGCATTAACCTTTGAGCTGCTTCAGGGCAGGGAGACTCCCACAGCTTTTCTGTGAAATCCCTCGGAGCACACGAACAAAGTACAGAACTCACATTTGCTGCTTTCACTGCAGGCACTTCCTCCCTTCTGCTGTGTCATGTTCTCCCTCTTTGAAGCTCAATCAATTTCCATGATCCCCAAGGGTCCACAGGAGCGTAACAATCCCATTTCTGAACACAGTGCACAGCCCACGGTGCTGTCAATCACAGTTTAAAGACTTCCCTTCTCCACTTCAGGGCAAAACCTTACAAAATGCTTTAATGTATCTACCAAGTTATGTTAGTTACTGTTTCTTTGGAGAACATACTGAACTGGCTATAAAGTCACTATACACTAGTCAGGTACTTTAAAGACAATGTCTGAAAACCAGTAAAATAAAAAGAACTAATTGATAAGAAAAGAAAAAGCAAGAACATCCATGATTTTATTACAAAAACACCCAGCAACTGTATTTAACACAAAAACAGTAACTGAGAGTCTCTTTTTATTTTTCTTTCAGTGTACATGCTCATAATTATTCCATTTAATTTACAGAAGGGCTATGTAAAATGAAATTAAAATTAGAGAGGAAACAAAAAGGAAGATTGAGGCATAGAATTTTCTTAGCAAGCAACGATCACAGGAGACAGCACAGATTGAACAGGGATTCAACAGGAGTGACACCTAGGGATAAAGGTAAACAGTAACTTTTTCCTTATCCATTAGATTCTCCATGGGGCTTTTTTGTTTGTTTTAGCAAAACAGTTTAGAGTATCACAGTATACAGGAAGACTAAACGGCAAAGAACGTCTCACACACACACACACATTTATCCCTGCTACTGGTCCAGGATCCAAAACTTCAGTTAACATTCGATTTCCTATCTCTCATTCATTGATAAACTATACAGGATTACACTGTACATGGAGTTAAAATTACAAAAATGTCATATTTACAAAAATCTGTACACACATAGTAAAACTCACAAAATTGTCATCTATGTATCACAAGTTGCGACACCAAAATATTAAAAATGGGATAAAATTATACATTTCTCTTGTCCATTTTTAAAAAGGGTTCATTATTTCAAAGACAGACCACCTATTTCTCCCAAATAAGACTGGTAAGAGAACTAGAAACCTAAAGTATCCTCCTGGGATAAAATGTCTCGAGCAGCATCTCCCAACTAGAAAGAAGCCTATATCCTGTCTGCTGGGGTGGGGTGTGCAGTTAGCATATATGTACAGAAATGGTGAAACTACATCGAGGATGTCTTTGGCTAAACCTTTGGCATAAATTAAAATCACACATCAAAAGTTACAGAAAAGGTTATCTTGGTGATGGCGGATTTCCAGAATTTCTGAGATACCATTATATACAGCTTTCCTTTCTCTGAGGAAATAGAGTAGGAATAAAGGATTTTGGAACAGAGGCAAATGAGGCAACATTATTTCTTCGTTAAATTTTTCACTAGTATGAAAAATTGTATCAAATCTTTTCATTAAAACATAATTCAATCCTAGAAATAACCCCTTCCAGAAGTTTTTTTTTTTCTTTCAAAATTGCATATGAAAAAAAATTAGTAAACCAGCCATGACAGAAAAAAATTGTATCAGCATATCAAGTACATATTAGTGCAGGAAGGTGGATAAATTTGATCCACTGTATAAATAAGCTTTATGCGCAGTGTACATTAAATAACCACCACACCCCACTCACTCCCAGTACACAGATGCTCCTCAGTGAAGATAAACGTTTATCAAGTAATTAAAGTGTATGTAGTGCAAATGTTACAACCAAGTATTATGCACATGCTACTTGCTTGGTTTAAAGTTACACAAAGATGTGGTGCCTGAAATCATGGACATATATACATCCTTGTCACACTTGGTACAATGTCCTAAGCCACAGAAATACCGAGGTGTTTAGATCTATATATATATACACACACGTTTTCTTAAAATGTGACCACCACATCAATACAGTAACACAAACAGACTAAAATCAATACCTGCTTCCAGATGCTCCAAGGCTCAGAAAGTTTGTGCTTCTAATTCTTGCAGTCATTACGTGCCCCTCTTCCATTTCCCCCTTCTGCCAGCTGAGAAGGAGGGACAGTCTCTTCAGGTCTGTGCTGCATAGGATGAGGGCAACGGAGAGGAATAAATGACGGCACAGGCACCCAAGCTGCTTTCCTCCATCAACAGTTCCATGCCCCATGATGAAGGGTTGAGAGAATTTCCTCTCCACACCACTCCTGGGTGGAAAGGCTTCTTGAAAAAAAAAATAAAATCATAACGTGCTTTCCATATTATAAGTGGCAGCAAATCAAGGCACGCTGTACTAATTCTGTAGCATTGAGATTAGCTGACTTTGCAGGGGATGCTCACTGGGGAAGGTCCGACGTTCTCAACTGGCTGCTGGGCCGTGTGGGGCCATACAGAGTAACAGAAGCTATGTGATTATTCTGCATCACCTGCAAAAGCACAGCAGGGAAAAGGGATATTAAAAGAAGTGCTACACTAAACAAAATCGGAAGTATTAAAATGGTAAATACAGAAGTGATCTGCCTGAAGAGAGAAATTCCAACAATAAATGACAGCAACAAGCTCTTGGCTGGTTCCTAAAAACAGTCTCTTATATTTCCATGACACAACACCATCTGCTCCAACCAGCCATGTGAATGTATCTGAATGTATCCTGCTAGCATGAGTTCCAGGTGACAAACCTGAAGTTTCAGCTTTAACATGCAAATGTACAGCCTCAGAGAGGAGGTTGCGAAGTTCCCTCCTTCCGCCAACAGGCACTAAAATTATACCACTCCCAAGCACAGGCTTTTATTGCAATAGGAAGTAAGAAGCCATTCATAAGGAATAGCAAACTCGTCTTCTTCCCATGCTCAGACAAGAATAAAAGGGTTTTTTTCCTAACCTCAAAGATCATTCGCTGCAGTCCAAAGCAAAAGGTTGACCCAAATGGGTTAGTGTTGTTCGGAGATGATGACCTGAACAGAAAAGAGGGGAAAAAAAATTTTAAATGGATATACGAGTATCAGGAACATCTTAAGAAGGAATAACTACTCAGCAATGTAAGGTGAATTACAGCATCTTTATCATGGCTTTCATCAAAAGAAATCTACATTATGCAACACCATTGCTGGACTCCAAGTGAGCCAAAGGAAACTCTGCTTGATGCTGCAGAGCCATCAGTAACACTTGGGGATAAAGTAATCAAAAAGCCATGAGTGACCTCTACAGGAAAACTCTCCTGCACTTAACTTGAACAGGAAGAACCCTAAAAAACCCCAGATACACAGGAAGAGAGAAGCACCATGTTACTTACTACACATTAATTTTGTGCAAGATCCTTCCCTTTGTGTCTCAACCTCTATCATATGTATTTACTATACATAGTCTATTATTTATATTTACTATATACTATTAATCAACTGGATTTAGCATGTTAACAAGATTAGCCTATATGATGCTGAAATAGAATAATCCAAGTTTTACTGAACAGTATTTTTCAAGATCTATATACCACTTGTCTTCCAATTATTTCTGGCATTTTTGGATTGTACATTGACAATTTCTGTTGACTGCAATGAATTTTTGATTACAGCCAAAAAAAAAACCCTAATGAATATTTACCTTTTGTCCTTTCTTGTAAACTGGTCAGTTTTTCAAATTGCATGTCTGAGCCATTTGAGATGTGCTCAGTAAAGCGCTCTCTGGTTGAACTACTCTCTACAACACAGATGGAAAAAATAGAAGGGCTCTATGTCATCACTATTTCACCTTAGCTTTACTTCATTCACATGGCTTCTGCTCTAATCATCTCACTGGCATAACACAGGAGTAAAGGGGAACAAAAGGCACAATGATTAAGAGGGGGAAAAAAGAAAAAAAAATCAAAGTCAAAATCACGTGAAAGTCTGATAAAAACACATTAATTTATCTGAAATTTCTGTGGTATTTGCACAGTACCCATCACTTACACTTGTCCTGAGATAAAAATCATGGTTTCACATCATAAAATGGTAACTCTGCAAACAGATAATGCCCATTTAACCCACTATCCACCTCAATGTCTGCAGAAACACAGCAAATTTAAGGGCTATTCTATCTTCAGTCAGCCTAAAGGAACTGTAGAACCATGTATGTTCAAAAAAGACAAGCTTCTTCAGACAGATTGCTGTTATATATGTTACCATGTATTTATATATACCATGATATATAATGTCATGTTCTTGAAATAATTTATAAAAAGGGTAAAAGCTCTACACTACCTATTACTCCTAAGGAAAGAGACTTTATAATGCACTATTTTCTCTGAGATCTTCTCTGGATTTTGCATTTCAAAGAAATTTGGAAATGCTTTCCCTCAGCATGTCAGTTTATTTCCTCTGAGAGCAGCTATCTTGTCTTGTCAGTGGCCAAAAAAACCTGAAACTTTAACCAGTAAAGCAGTACAAAAGTATCCCGTGCCATAAACACTCTTCCTCATCCTCTGTTGTCAGCCCAATCCTTGCCAAGCAAAATAAAGAGAGAGATTTTTACCTGTGAAGTACCACTGGCTTCTCTACAGGGTGCCCCAGTAGATCCTGAATACTGTCCCACTGTAAATACATCAATGAATTTATGTTAAATGACGCACAAGAAAACTCTTCTTTTTATCTAGGAAGAGTGCCATGCACATTTGTTTGTGACAGACCTATTTGTAGAATAAACCTGAGGTTGTATTTACAGTAGCATTTTGTGACTGGAACAATACTCAGTAATGGAACTATCCATTGCTAGGGCTAGTAAATTCTCTTAAGGTATATTCTCATTTTTGTCTAAAAATAGTTTGGAATTAGAAATATTAATATAAAAATTTCTATGGGTCTTATGGATAAAATGTAGCTGGAAAGTCTTGTGGCATTTTAGGGGCACCACAGAGACCAAAGCAGCTGTGGGAAATTTCAACAGAATATCCTCTTACATAACCTTAGCAGAGAGGAAAATCAGCCCCACTGCTACCTCTCCCAGAGGTCTTTCCTTGATTTAGGCAACAATATTGGAGAAGAGGAAAGCTGCACTATTTAATGACTTGGAGTGTCCAACAGTTTTCCTAGCTTTAACCAGACTCCAAGAAGCTGCAGTTTCACATGCAAGACTGACATAAGTCTAAGCACTGAAGGGAGTTAATTCAAATCAAAAGGCTTAGAATGGCATCTTCCAGACTGCTGACTCAAATTTTTCTTCCCAGTATGGTACCCAAAATTCACCAAGGAAAGCCCTCATTTAGCATCCCAGGAACCAAAAGAGCAGCATTGACCCTGGCTGAATGTTAACTGCAGAGACACCAATGAACAGTTTTTAAGAAGTTTTTCAACTTAATGCAGCTGTCAAATATACAGCAGCAACTGCCCAGCTGGGAAGCTCATTTAGGTGGTAAGGCTGTAGAGTCTTCAAGGAGTCTGCTGGCATCAGGTGGTGTCACACTGGCAGTGACATTTTTGAAAGGCTGCTGCCTAAGAAACATCCCATTACTGGTGCCCTTCAGAAGAAAGTGGAAGGGCACTGAACTCTTGTTAAACGTCTTCAAGAGCTATGTTTAGTACAATAGCTCTGTGAGAATGTTTTTAGGAACATGTCTCCAGCTAACATTCAGCCACCACTGCTGTTGTTTTCCCCTATCACTTAGTTCACTATTTCTACCTGCAGCTGTGTTGAAATAAATGCAAGCCATGCCATAATGTAGTAATTTAGTTTACTTGAAGTGTGCTATTATAAATGAATTCAATCTTTTAACACACCAAAATATTTCAAACACAAGATATACACTAACTTTTGGCCTTCTACTGTTTCACTTTAAAACAACATGATACCACTGTTATAATTTCTTTGAAGTGTATTGTAAAGTTGGCATGAATAATTTAGATGGTTTAAGAAAATTAGGTAAACAGTTCTGCACAGGCTTACCTTGCTGTATGTTGTACATGTTTCTGTCTGTGAATCAGCACTATCTATGAAACGAAAACAGAAAACCTTTTTATAGCTTAAGCTTGAACAGTCCCCTACATAATCCTTTATTCTGGCATGTTCATTCAGATAGCAGGAGACACAGGAGCATTAGATCAGGACATATACAAATTTACCAGCATTCACTAGCAATCAGAATTGTCAGTAACACTGACTAAACGCCAGTTAAGCATTAAAGCAAATCTCCCTATTTACTGCAAGTCCCAACTTTAAGGTTATAAAGGCTTAAGCTTTAATCTTAGATGGAAGAACATCACTGCAAAAGAATCTCCATCTCTCTGCACTAAGCTAACGGTCCTAGCACAGCCACTCGAGGAGGTAACATGATGTGCCACTCACTAAGTCCAAAACAATCCACTGCACTTGGAAGGAAAGCTGGCTAAAACTGACACCTGGAGACTCAGGAGCTGGCAGGCCTGAAATCAGTTAAAAATATTGCTCTTCCAGAATAAAGATGGCTGAGAATCACAGCCTACCTATTAAATAATAAAAGGACAGCACTGCATTTACAATTACAGCCTTTAAACAGAAATTGTTTGCTGGTGGTTTCAACTACTTTCATACGTATCTTACATACTGAAAGCACATTCCCAAAGCAGTGGCAATGGACCTAGACACTGAAAACATCAAACATAGCCTTCAGTCAAGTGTAAGACCATTTGCTCCTCTGTATTATTAGCTCTCTAAACATGCTCTCTTTGTGCTGAGAGTTCAGTGTCTATGCAACTTGAACTCTGGCTCTTAATTTATCATCTGAACTTGAACCACAAAAGGGAACTAATAAAACTGCATCAGGCACTGCCACTAGAGGGAAGAAGATGGGCTATTCAAAACTGTTATAACATCTGTTCACAATGTGTTACATGTCCTGGACATAAGCTAGAGGCCAGAAAAGCTAATTAGAAATTTTGGTTAGAAATGCCAAATAAACAAACAAAACAGACACATTAAGAATAAATTCATAATGCTACTTAAGGTAAATTAAATTAATCACAAATTAATGCTTTGAAGTACAATAATCTAAGGGAAAATAATTTTAGAAGCAAGAATTTTCATGCTCATTCTCTTGGCTAAAGTGCAAATCAACTTTCATGTAAGCCTATATATACAAACGTTGTTTTTCCAGGTTTTTAATCCTCCATATGCTCAAACTGCTGTGACAGCCACAGGAGGATTGCACTTCACACAGCAAAGTGCTTGCAGTAAATACCAACCAGAATGAGGAAAACATCCCTGGCCAAAACCTAGGCAGCATCTGGCATTCCCAGGATAACCCAAATACCTTCCCAGTACACATTTTTTCTTATGTTGAAGTCTACTTCAATCACTGTGACCTTCAGACAGGGTTCCCCTACTTTGCTGAGATTAGTTACATGCACAGAGCTGGGAATATCTTAGTACTTTGCCAAATCAGCACTACTGATTATAGATTTATTTTTTCAAGTAGAGATTTTCAGGTGAACACAGACTTAGTCTGTAGTATATTGTGGATGCTTATTCTCATTCCCAGATAAACCAGACTATATTAAATACCAGTGGATTGGTGATGAGCTCAGACTAACACTGTCTAACAGATTCTGAGCCTCCAGGTACAAGGTACTTGATTTTAGCAGAGCAGTAGCATTACAGGATATTATGATGTTGCAGCTAAATACTGGTGATCCAAATAAGTGAAGAGGTAGTGTAAGTAAAATCAGAGATTACTGCTACCTTGCCCTGAAGTGTCTTTTCCACTTAAATAGAAACCTAATCCCAACATTTCTTCTCTGTCTCAATGACAGTCACTGTTAGCACACTCTGAGAACACAGGACAGAGACAAGAACTAATCCCAGCTACCCTTGGAGCATTCTGTGCCCCCAGAAGCAGGACAGCAGGGAAATGCTCACCTCTCTTAATGATGAGTGGAATCTTGAATTCACAGCGATGGTAACTAGAAAGTGCAAATCGTAAAGCTATTAGAAAACAGAGAAGCCAAGATAAACTGCACAGCCACAGACTTACAGCTCTTAATAATCCCTTTAGGGAACAGTCACATCAATAATAAAATGAAAGTGAGAATCTATGATAGCAGATTAAGCTCTCACTTAGATTTTCCACATCAAAAAAGGCAGCAGCCTGGGAATGTCCTAATACAATTTTCTAGAGGACACAAGATGTCCTTCAGCACAAATTACTCTATTGTTACACGGAGTGAATGGAGAAATACTTAGCTACGAAATAGACCTACAGATTTCTCTGTCACTAACTGCTTTAATCAGACATTCAATCACTAACTCATACTCCTCCTCTGAAGAGTTTACACTTAGAAAGTATTGAAAACATGTTCAGAAGCATGAGTTTTTTTCATCACCAACAGAAATCACATTAGGAAAACATCAGCAACATACCTACCATTAAATTGGCACCCTTGCTAATACAAAGTTTGCCTCTATCAAGAGTTTGCACATCATACCTGGACCAAGAACTATCTTACCTCATTCACTGCTTTAAGACATACTTGCCAGTACATATAAAGGCATTTAAAAATAAAAAGAAAATACTACCAATACTACTAAAACAATGTTACTAATGAAGTCTGAAACCTCCACAGGTTACTAGATACACCAAAGAGACTTATGAAAAATTATTGTAATTCTATAAGAGATCATAAGATTTTCTTTTCAGTTGTTTTCATGTACTCCTTAATAGATAAGTTCTGTGCACTCACATGTTGAAGTTGTAATGACCAGGATAATTTGTATGCAGGACAAATTTTTTCACCTTGTGAGTGTTTGCATCAAATAGAATATCCTGTTGAAGACAAAAAAGACAGATGAAGCGATTTGGATAGAAGAAGGTGGCTTTCCCCAAACTAACCCTGGATTACTTAAAATAGCACCTGTATAGAGTGATGCATTTATCTCTCTGGAACTGAATCAAACTAGGAAAAGCAGTATTTAAAAATAAGACTATTTGTAAATTCAAATAACACATTTCCTCCAGCACTCAATCACAACTGCAGCTTTATTTGCTAATGTTGGCAAGTTTTCTAAGGAGGTCTTGTTTTTCTACATATTACTTACGATAATGTAGACTAAAGCAAAACAGCTGCAAGAAGGAACATGCAGATTTAACTACACCCCACAGCTCAGCAAACTTTCACAAGTGATGTTATGGCACACCTGCCTCAGTTCTGTGGGACAGGGGCATGGATCTCAGGAACAAGAACTAGTTACCTATGCATCAGGCACAACAGAAAAAGGAGAGAATCTAAGAGACTGCAAAAGTGCAAAGAGCCCTCCATCCACTGGTGAAGATAAAATGCTGCTGATTTAATTTAAGTGTGTGAGTTTTAAAGGAAAGTCAAGTGTAGCTTTTCATATCCAGAGATTCCTAAGGCAGCAATCACGAGTTTTGCAGCCTCTCATTTCCCACAGTCTTTAGCCTCCTGAAAAGATTGCTGTGTAACTAAATCAAAAGTTTACATGAATTGTTTAGGGAGGCTTTCCACTCACCACTCCAAGTGTGAAATAATTGAAGAAGTAGTCATTGCACTTTGATGGGACCTGCTTATGGGGCGAGGGCGAATGGATTTTCATCTGCAAGAAACACACTTTTCAGATGCATTCAATAATGCTCAAAGATGAATGCCTTTAATAACGTCTCTACGTTCAAACAAATTGCTATAATCTCATTTGAAGATTTTGTTTAACTGTGTAAGATAGTGTGCTTCATGACAGGACCATCACCTGCTTACAGCAGCACAGTGACACATCAGCTTTTTCAGTTATCAGAATTAAAAGGCTTACTGACATGATGCTGTGTAAAAACATTACGAAAAGATCAAAGTATATGCTGAGGTTATTTTACATACATTATAAGTGAAAAAAAATAGGCAGTACACACTTGGTAAGGTACATTTGGATATAAAAGTGCTCCTATTTGCAACACTTATTAAATCAGCTAACATTACGCAATTTGATTATTTTAATAAATGTATAAACAGATTTGCATGAATTTAGATTTTAAAAAAGCTTCTTAAAACCTATTATATAATGGTTCAGCCCAGTCTATTATGTGAAGTAATTTGTTGAGCACTTGTAATTTGTGCTACGTGGCAGTTCAACTTCACTGGCCTTGCCAAACACAAGCACCATGATGAGACTGAGACACCACTGAACAAAGTCTGTGCCTGAATGAATTCCTTCACCTTGTCTTCCGACTTGTAGAAGACTTTGTGTGGAGAGCCCAAGGTGCTGAGCACATCCTGGCAGGAATCACCGAAGTACACACAGCGCTCAAATACCCGCATCTTGGCGTCGGCTAAAACACCTGGGCCACAGCCTGAGGAATGGAAAACAACTCTACATGCATCCTTCCTGATCACAGAATACATCAGTAAATCAACACCAAAAGGTTAGCATTCCTTTATTTATCAGAAAACCAAACACCTGCATTCCTCAGACAACAGTGCCAAACTAAATTTGACCATTTACTTTGCAAGGGTGTAAACATTTCTTATCAGAGCTGTGCATGTGCTGACTGTTGCACAGTTCCCCATTTTAAACTCCAATTTCAGCCATACTACCTTCACTTCCTTACCATTCACATGGACTTGATTTGGTTTCCCAGGCCATCTCTATTTGATCAGCTGGCTATTTGCAGTAAAAGCAGGAATTATTTCTACCCCTAGAATACTCTACTTTATCAGCTAGAGATTTACCTCCACCTAAAAACGTCAAGCGCATAAAATAAAATCCCTCACCCATATTAACTGTATCACAAAATACACATTCTTTACTCAAGATTCCCATAACTTACTAAATCAATAGCAAGTACATCCCTGTGCAAACAACATTAAAACCAGATCTCATTGAATAGCCGTTACACAGATGAATTGCTGACATGTTACCAGATGTTAGGAAATGGAAAGATGCTGCAGTTGGTGAGCCCATTTGCTTGCAGGAATGCAGCATCTTACATTTACGAGAATGCAAGCACACATATGCAGAAGTTGCTGCAAAACACAGGATGCTTTGCTTTCCTCACTATGCATTATTTATGTAGCCAGTTACCCGCTAAAATAAATCAGAAAAATCCAGTTTGGTCATCCTTGATTTCTTAAATAACTTCAAATTAATACATAGGCAGAGAAATGTGTAATATGTTTTACAAGAGTTTCTACAAACTTTGCAAGATAAGAACAGCACATGTCTAGATTGCCTCTCTGCAAGTTTGTCTGAACATCAGTGATATTTTAATAATTATTTTATACATTGACATTTCCTTTAAGCCACAACAAAACTTTTTAACAAAACTTGACACTCTAAATGTCCAATTTCTCAAAATCATTTACATAATTATGATGCTATAGCTAACTCTTTCCCCAGTATATGAGGCTCTGCTCTACTTTATTTTCCTCTGTAATAAGAGAAGCAAAGTGGCTTGAAAATATCTGCTCCGTTTTTTCTGGTAATTTTTTTATTCTTCATCTATAATATTTTTTTTTTCCAACTTTTGCATATTGTGAATTTATTCCAAGTGTTTCCTCAATATATAGAGCTAGCAATCAGGACAGGTCAAAAGCTGAGTCTCCTAATCAAAATTTTTAAAAACATCTCAGTATTTTTTTATTAAAAACATTGTCAAGTCTCAAGTTATGGTGACTGAACAAGACTCCTTTGCAGCTCTTATATCTTTCCCTTATTTCTAAGTGCCCTCCCATCTCTGAAAGCACCTAGAGGGAGGACTCATCAGCATCTCTTCACTTTCACCACTGTCTCCTACTGTAAATGAAAACAGGACTGAATTCAAAGTGCAGTTTAAGGCTGCAGCATTAATGTAATCACTTGCTGGCATTTTTAAGTCTTCCAGATGTAATCACAAAAACATTAACATCATACAGCTCCCTGGAATCTCAGAAAATATACCCATACACAAGGTTTCTTGGTTTGTCATCATTTTTTAGTGATGTACTGAGAACAGTGATCTGTTTTCTTCTATACATACACCTGGAAGCAAATTCCATTTCTGTACACAGATTCTAAGGACTTGGAACATGAGGACTCCAGTTCTCAGTGATTTCTCCAAGGTTAGGAAAATGCAGCAGCAGGCAGGTTCATCTTCAAAAGGATTTAACTGGGTTTTGTTTGCAATAGTTCAAAACAAGGTAGATAGAACACTTTGAAATCATTATTAAATAATCAGAAATAACCTGTGCTTAATTTACAAAGCTTTATCCCTCTTTTCCTGAGAACAACCAGTGCGATGTTCTGAGTGTCTCCAATACCTGCAGTGAGTAGGCGAAGCCGTAAACCTGAGGGTCCAGTTCCATCTCGCAGAACATCGACGTTCTCAGCATACACATTCCCAAGGAAACAGCTGAGAGGCATCAAGGGAGCCCTGAAACCAATCATACAAAATGTGCACAGGATTTGCTTCACCTTCAAATTTTCCTGTAACAAGCTGGTATCAGTTCACTGGAACAGAGCACATTAATTTTAACAAAGCTGCATGTAACTGAGACCAAAGATTAAAAGTTGTATTAAACAAAAGGATCAGAAAGTGTGGGGGAAAAGGAACAAGACAGAACCCAAATGCAAGATCTTTACCATTAATGAAAAAACCAGCAAGTTTCAAAGACTCCAGGAATTAAGGAATTACAGCCTTTGCGTATCTCCTATGAGGACACGTCAGCTCAGATTTCTCTAAGGGAAAATGGAAGTTGTGGAGTTTTTAAAGCTAACTAAGTCCTTGAACTAGGCCTATCACCCAAATGCAGCAGAAGAGCCTTCTCCGTGATGCTCTCGCTACTCTTGGGAAGGTACTGCATAGGCCAGAACATGAAATCAGCTTGTGCAGGTACACCAAAGGCAACTGTGCTGCTTTACTGGGAAAGTTCTCAATTTAATTCAACAACAATATTATTTTAAAAAATAGTAACAGTCCCAAGTGAGATATTTTCAATGGAAAGACATATTTTCTGTGTATCACCTTGCTCCCTAAAGTTCCCTCTTCTTATGTTCCTCCTCTGGGTGAATGACAAGCTAAAAGTTGGGCTTTGAGCTCTCTCTCAGACACACAACAGAGCCCCATGCAACAATCAGTGCTTTCACTAAAGCTCACCATGTCACAGATGGGCACAGACAACAGCACTTTTCTCAAGAGCACTTCTTTCTAATTAAGAGACAATGTCTGCATAAACAAGCCTCCCTCCCTTCTGAGAAGTAATCCAAGTGTGTTTATCTCCTGGCCTTAAAACTCCACTGTCTCTGCAAAATACTGGTTTATCAGTTTGGGTATTTCTAAGATTAGTTATCTCAGAATCCTACAATGGTTTAGCTTGGAAGAAACCTTAAAGATCACCTAATTCCAGCCCCTCTGCCATGGGCAGGGACTCCTTACACTAGGCCAGGTTACTCAAAGCCCCATCCAGCCTGGCTTTTAAGACAGTAAGCTCAGTCAGGTATCTGCAAATACATTGAACATATGGTAGATTATGCATATGGCATATTTTATTAATTTTGTTTAGCAAGGGAGTTTAAGACCCTTGATAGGACCCATATATATGTCATAATATGACATACATATTATCAATATGCTGCAAGCTTACTGACTGCCTACACCAAATTTGATCTGTTTAGGAAGAGGTCATCAGCACAAACAAAATCTACAGGAAGATTAGCCTAAACATGTGTTACTAAATTCAGTGTTCCCTGCTTTAATTAATTCATTTTCAGATCAACTGAACTTGCCTACTGCAGCTGAACCAAGCTCATACAGCTCAACAGCAACATAAATCAAACCAACATTTGATTACAAGGTCTGAGGACAACATCTACAGAAATCTGACTGAAGTTGGTATCTAAAAGCATTCTGCACATTACTAAATTAATAGAAGACCCAAACTGAACTAAGAAAACATATGATTCTATTTAGCAATGGCAAAGCACTAAAACGATGGAAAGAGCACGAGCAGCTGTACATACTTGGTGTCCTGCAGACTGTTTCCGTTGTAGATGTACATGCGTTTCACAGTCGCGCCATGTGGAATTTGCAGAGAGGCCAGACCGTGGGCAAAGTTAGGCTGTGGAAACACAAAATCATTCTTCTTACACAACACAGCAGACACTTCAGCTTAAGCTCAGAAACTGCTTTAGAGATGCTTACCAATTCAAGTAAGTCTCCAATAGAAGACAAGGGGACAAAATAACAGTAAAACCCAGCCTTCAAGGTGGTGTTTCTTTATATTCCACCACTCCTGGGTTCCTGAGCAGGGGTGAAACACTCACTATGTTTATTCATCAAAAGATGCCATTACTCTGACAATTAGCCATTGTGTGTACTGAGAATTCAAGTTTTTCCTTGGTTTGATCACTGGCAGCTAGCAGTTTCCAAGTATTTATACTGATATGCTGTATTAAAGGTCTAAGAAATCATCTGTCTTAAAGGAAAACTTGTGGGTTTTGTCTCCCACTGCATTCATTTCAGCCTTTTAACATTTTTGCTGGTTTTCAAAGATGCCTTATCCGATGAACAGAAACTTGTGCATTAAATAGATTTTCCGCTCTCCTTATCACCACATTCTTACACATGCTGTTTTGACAGGGATTTGAATGCTCTCATCAAGTAGAAAGCATGCTAAGGAAGTCAGATTGACTCTTACTGTACTAGAAGAAGGAATTTCTTTCAATTCTGAATGTGACAGGACATTCAAGACCAATAACATACTTTGCTGTCACCAGACCGAAAAAAAAACTATCTTTGTCACAAGCAGCCAACAAAAACAAGATGCACAATATGCAAACTATTACCTGGTCTACTTTAGCAGGACATCACATAAGGTAAACACAAACACACAAAATTTTTTGGAAAAAAATTAACCTAGAACAATGACTTTTACTGCTGTAGGTTTTAAGAAGAGAACCTCCACTAACTAGAAAATCTAGAGATGCCCCATTTTCAATTCTCTACCTGAATTTGCCTAGAATATTAATACCTTTTGCTTCTTAAGTAGTCAGGCTTCAGATTACTGAAGTAAGAAAAGGATTTCATGTTCTCCTCACTTGCAACTTGTTTCCAGCTATACAATAAACTCTAAACTTTTCTTCATAGCATTTCCATTTCCATAAGCAGAAGGTTGCACTGCTTTGCTAAGTAGCTTAGCATTCCTATATGATCTTCCCTGAACTTGCCAGATTTTGACACATTCAAATTCGACTTCACTCTGCCATCTTTTCTAATGTTCCTCTCTAAAATTATCCACAAATACTTGTCTTCCCTTGTGGACTGTTTCACACTACTCTGTTTTCAAAACAATCCTACCTGTTCCTAGGGAGACTTTGGCATTACACTCTGTGCAAAGAACATTTTACTAACCTCACCAGAACAACTGAATGAGACACTTAAGAGAATGCAAAATTACTTTCTCCACTGTTCTAGCAGTTCTATTTTAACATCTTTTAGGTAGTCCTGCAAGGAGCAGGGACTTGGTCTCAGTGATCCCAACAGGTTCCTTCCAGCTTGAGGTATTTTATGATCTTTTCAAATCTTTGGTAAAACAATTTACTTCCTCAGCAGTTTGGCTATGTCATTCATCAATGCCCTGGGAACTCTTGCATGAAAATAAACCATTCTTTGTTGGGGCATTCTTTTTGTTTAGTTTATTAGGTTTCTATTCACCTTCCAATCTGAAACCCAACTGCCCTTCACTACTGCTAAACAATAACTTCCTCTGGTTACCCCCTGTAACATGTCAACCATAAGCACTAAATCAGAGGCTGTGACAAAGAACATGTGTCATCATGTTGGCTGATTTCTTCTTTGTTTTGGCTCTTTATTTGCTCCTCTATTTTAATACTTTTTAACTGGTAAACACAGATTATACAACTGAGAGCATTTCCATCCCCACACAAAACAAGTTACACATACATTTTTGTTAGTACAGAAGGAAACCACAGAGGACCTGATCCTGTTTCCACTTTAGATGGGGATTTCCAAAGATTTCAGAGAATGCAGTAATGCATTTAATTATTCAGTAACTCATCCAAACATTTGGTGAATATGCAAACAGGCATTACAAATAAAACTCATTCATTTGGCTTGCTAAAAGCACTCATACTGAAGGACACTTAAGATGAAAATGTATTTTATGAAGTCTATCCTACTTTAGTTGCATAATCACTTTGATGAGATTCAAAAATATCTGATAAAAGAACAGCCTCCCAGTAGATTGCTTAATATTTATGTATTTGCATAGACAGCACTGTTATTTTTAGAAGACTCCTTTCACCAACAGAATTGCTAGTCCCAGTTCATGATGCAAGCAAAACCCCTAAGCATATGCCTTCTGTCAACAGGAAGTAAATTTTTAACTTTGAGATGGTTACATAGCATTAATAAGAACACAACTGAGAAGTTCAATTCCTTCCAAATTACTGGCTTCTTTCACTCTCAAAAGACAACAGACACAATGTAGGTGATACTTGCAAATACCATAGAGGCAGAGAGACCATCCATAAACTAAGAATGATTGCTGACCTCGTACTTCGGGGTTTCAGTCCAGGAGTCTAACTGAAAAGAAAATGACAGTCCTCTGAAATTGAGGTGAAAGAGTTGCTCAGCTGAGTTATACACTAAAAGGGAAAAGAAAGTAAAAACAGAGTTACAAAAATAATCTAAGAATTCTCCAGTTCATATCTAACAGCATCTTCATCACCTCAATGAATTTGTTACATCTCTGAATGCAGGAGGAACACAATTACACTAGACCATAATAGCTTTGCTTTTAATTTGATGCAGTAAAAACACAGCAGTAAGAGAAACCATAGCTTCATTACAGTTGCCTCTGCAAGCCTGCAGGCACTAACCTATCCCTAACAATACAATTATACAACATGACATAATCATTATACCTTAATATCTCTAAAGTAGTTTAAATAGCCACTACTAGTTCAAAACAATTTTGTTCATTGTTACATAAAACATTGTACAGTATTAACCAGAAAGTCTTTGAGAAAGATGTACACAGAACATCTCTTCACATCACAGAATCCCTCTTTCACACCATGGGCCAGCACAAACAGGAGCTCAAAGGAGGCTCACCCTGTGACCTGCACTTCCACCTCTCCCCCCAAGAGGAGCTCCCGTGCCCAAATCAGCTTCATGTGTTCCCGGGCAACACAGCCCAAGGAGGAAATGCTTCAGACACAGAGGTCCTAGGCCATTTACAATGATAATTAAAAATAACATCACCAGAAACAGCAGCCAACCAGTCAGCTCCCACAAAGAGCACTAATAAATTAGAGCACACACAGACTTCCAGCTGTCACCACATCACGAGATGTCCTGATTCATTGCAATCAATTGCACAACATCAACTACAAACAACAGTAAATGTCATCCCAGTACTTATTCTAACAACCTACTGTTTTCTGAGACCGTGGAAAGATTAAAAAACAATCCCAGAAGACTGAGAGCTTGGGAACTGTTTTGGGATTGATTTTACAAACTTCAACCTGTGCCCTGTAGCCACTGGGGGAACAGAGTGTTCTAGTAACACACACGAGCTGACAGTTTGAAAACACCAGAGGATAAAAACAATAAAGATACCCTCTAACAGGAGAGGCTACTTTCTTCCACTTTACTAAAGGAATACCAAAGGCCCAATATTCCCTTTTTTCTTACGATGTTATATTTAAAATGACATCGCATAGAGAAAATGCATATAAAGAAATGTTTTGTTCCCTCCCTCCCACAGTGTCTTTCAAATGCTCAAGTTGAAAGACATATCACAAGGTATCTGGACAATGCCAGGCCACCCAGGACAGAAAAATAATAGTTGAGCAATAAGCATTAAGCTTTCAAAAATCATCATTTGGCTTTTCTACAGAATGTGCTGGCTAAGAGTCTTTTCCACGCTTGTCACTGGAAGGAAAACGTGTGGAGAGAGGGAAATGTTTTGATCGGCAGGAAAATTATACAAATCTCTCTCATGTGATAAATTATGATACATCTTTTCCAAAGCCCACAGCCAGCTGGAGAGCTATTTTTCCCCCAGTCATGCCAAGTGTGATATCTGATTATACAAATCTCATCATCTCCCATCCCCTGCAATGTTTGTTGATGCTTAGGTTTAAAGGGCAAGGAATTGTATTCTTGGGAAGTTCTTTCATGTCTCCCTCAAAACCATAGATCCCAACCACATGACTGAACAAGGTAAGGATTTTTTTATTATTATTATTTTTTTATAACACAACTACTCTGCTAATTCCATTCAAAATTGCCAATAGAAGCAAAAGACTATGTCTTTGCTGCTGAGTGGGGGAAAGGGAGGAAGTTTGCCTTCCAGGAAGGCAGCAGAGTGTGATCAGCTAGGAAATATTTCTGTAGAGCTAACAGGACAACACCACCAACATCAACAAGGTTGCAAAATGGATACAGATTTGGTAAAAGCAAAGGCAAATCCAAAAGCCAATTCTTCCTGGTATCAAACACAAGACTTTTCTGGCACCTTAGGGGAGCCTGGGCCCGTGCTGAAGTCCGAGAGTTAGAGAGCCAGAACACATCAACCCTCTCCATCCTTGCATGGCCACTGTGGTAGGAGGGAAGGAAGACTTATCTTCTACCTTGTGACTTGAGCTCAACCCCACAGCCCTGATCCTTGCTGAACAGCACTACGGCACAAAGCCACATCCATGAGGACTCAGGACAGGATGCGGTTTCAATAGATCCACTGGCAAAAGCAAGCTCTTCCCAGCAGGAAGTCAGGTCACAGAATCATGGAAATGTGGGACAAAAAAATCTTGGCTTCAATGAAGCTGTTGACCTCCAAAGTGGTTGTATTTCAATAAACCCCATGACAAAGGTACTGCAATGTTTCAAACTAACATTAGCCAAAAAGTAATGAAGCTGGTTGATTTTTCTGATGACTCTTCTTTTTTAAAACCACTGATCTGGCAAAACCAAAAATGCTCACTGAAGGTCAGTTTCAACACAAAACTGTTGCTAGCCTTTTGATATTTATTTTGAAACTACCACTGTATCCTGTTGCAGGAAAGTTCTGCTGCAACCACCTTGGTTTTAAGTGAAAAACAACATTTTGAATGAAATTCTAGTGGAGGTTAACATAGATAAAAAACAAAATACATTTAAAGTGCTTGAATTGGGGGTTTGGAGGAGTATTAGCACAGAGAAGTAAAGGGATGGTTATGTTCCTTTCACTCATGAAAACTAGCATTTGGTACTTTGGTCACATTAAGAGGAAGGTTTCTCCTCCCACCCTAGTTCCAATTTTTGTGGGACATTAAAACACCATCACCATCCCCCCACACATGATGAAAACCATTCTGGTTCTTCACCTTTTCCTTGTTTCAGAAAACACAAAGGAAAAAAAGAGTTATCAAAAACTTCTGTTGTATAATACAGTTCAAACAGTTTGTGACAGGCAGCTTAATACAGAGCATTTACTTCTGCTAAGTAGGCTGTTAATGGAAGAAGTATTTTCCCAATGAGAAAACTTGAATAAGCAAATGCACTAGTGAAATGGTAATAGAGGCCAACATTTTAATAAATACATTTTCTTATCTACATGTCACTAGATGAAAAGATGTTATGAAAAACTATCACCAGATGAAGCAAGTGTGCAAGTTTTCTTAATTGAATATGACAGGTGCACAAGATCTGCAAATTCAGCACAAGGACACGTGGTGTCAAACTATGTTTTTAAGTGCTTGCATATGATTTTATGCAGTAATAAAACATGCTACTTCCACAGGCAATGCTTATGGCTAGATATGTATTTTTACAGTTCATATTGTGACAATTTTGGAAGTGCTCCACCTCTACATATTTGCAAATAAACCATCATCACAGAATAAATAAAAATGATAAACAACCCAGGACATGAAACCACTTTTACCCTTCTTTAGACTACAGCCTCTTGTACATACAATTTCTGTAATAGATCTAACCATAGATTTCAGAGCTTCTGTCTAAGAGGAACTGTTAATGTCAGGACCAAAATTTTAAAAGGCTAATTCTGGTCCTTGGAGTATTACAGCTAGAAATGCTCCAAGCTTCATTTATCTCAATCTGATATTCATCAACTACTGCAGGCTTTTATGCAATGATACTGCTCTACCCACATGACCCTCCCCAGTTAATAAATCCTGTTCTGTAATGTGCAAGAGAGTGTCTGCAGAGAGCAGAGACAAAGGCTGGATATGCAATCACCATCCATCACAAAGAACACTCACCTGTTTTGGATCAGTCTGACTACTGCAAATGGACTGGCTTAGGTTAAAAATAGAAAATGAGGCTCTGAAAATGGTATCTTGACTATATGGAATTAATGTTCTTCCTTGTTGTGCCAGTTTGTGGCTCCATTTCTTGAAAGTTCCCGAGCTGTTTCATTATAAATATCCTCTTCAAAATTCCACCACTGGCTTATTTTCATAGCTTAACAACCCCCTGAAATACACTTTTCGTTTTCATACACAAACAAGGAGCTTAAAGATAGTCTTTTTCCTGCTGCAGAGATGGTGAACAGCCAAGTGGCTGTGCAAGAGTCAGAGTGGGTTCAGCCAGGTTAAACAAACTTGTCCTGGTTCTGCTCCTGCTGCACGTAGACTTCACACCTCCCCAGTGCTCCCAGTACAGGAGGGGGGCTCAGGGAGGTGTAAGCCAGTTACACACAGCTCAGATTTGATCCTGCCTAGCAAGGACAGTCACAGAGCATGGAGACTGAGCAAACAGCCCTGGCTGACTCTGCACAGAGAGCAGCTCAAATGTCTGTGCTCATGGTATACACAATCCCTAAGGATGCTTGAGAGCTGACCATGCATAAGGACTTGTAACAACAGCATCAACAACAAAGCTCACAGTTTTCTGCTACTGGCAGTTCAAAACAGATCATTAATGACATCCGAATACACCATTCTGTGCCAGTGACTCCCTGCCTCATCATTTCACTTCTAAAAAAGAGTCACAACTGAACTGACAATACATCTTACATGATTTCCCAGCTGTAAGAATATAACCATTCTGGAACCCAGCTCCAGATCATATGACAACAGAACTACCTACACATTGCTCTAGGCAGACACACTGGAAAGGTTTCCTAGAAAGAAGTCTGTCAGGCTAGGTGTGCTTCTCTGAAATTTTTTGGCTTACCTCCTGGATGTGTTGCTCCAAATGACTGATCAATTTGTTCTATGGTTGGAGCAATTGCCTGAGAGTTAAAATGGACACCACTGAAAAAGAAAACAAAATTAATCTGCCTGAATGAAACCAAACAGATGCTACAAACATTTACTAATGGCAATACCACATCTAAATTGTAAGAAGCCTCCAAGACTAAAGAGTAAACCAATAATTTAACTGAGTACCCTGATCAAGAAAGGATGATTATGCACACTCCTTTATGAAAGCTGGTTTTTATTTTTAAAATTAGTAATTGAAAAAATGAATTCAGAATTTAAAAAAATTAGTAAAACCAGACACTCTAACCAAGAGGAAATCATGAGAGGTCTTAAATCACTTACCAATATTTTAACTTCACCTTAGTCAAGTCATAAACTTCAATCACCTGAAACACCAGAAACAAAAACATTGGCATAGTTGAGACACTTGCAAATCATTACAGAGATAAATCCTTGTCAAAAGGCAAGACTAGCTAGTGCTGCTTGTTCCCCTTCTTACAGAACCCTGCCAAGATAAATCCCAGTATCAGAGATCAAACTTCAAAAACCGACTCAACAACTGTACATCTGAAATAGGGACTGAACAACTCTGGGTTCAGGAGAGAACCCCCATATCCCATGTACATCGGTACCGCCTGCAGGAAGAAATACTGTCACTTACACATGAGTATCTTGATTTCTAGAGAGTTTACTCAGACTTTCAAAGGAAAGCAACAGCAAGGATTAGCTAATTAGTGAATCCTCTGATGAATGTCAATGGGCCATTCCTTGGGTTGCTCCCACTACCCTGAAGAATTCCTGTGTAGGGCACAAAGTCCTAACACTGACTGCACTGCCGTAACTTTCCAGCTCTTCTAAAGTAAAAAATGAACACAGCAAGACTTAGCAGTAATATCCCATTTCAATTATACATAAGATATCTTGCAACCTTGCCAAGCATTACAGAAGACAATCAGAAGAGCAGCCCATGAGGGATCAGGGCAAGCCATAATACCCAGTTCTAAATGTTTAAGACCTTACTGAATATTCCAAGGAGCTTCCCCCTCTGCAGAAAATATTAGATACAGATCCCTTGTTCTGAATACATTACTGCAAACATGCATCTGATGTCAAATGATTTTTATCACTGCCACTGGATTTTGAGGCTATACTGGGCTTTAAGCAGATGACTTTTGGCAAGTAGCCATGGACAAACACAAGCCTCTTCCACCCTATATACATGTTCCTATGTCAGCAGGAAAACACATACAGCTCATAACTGCTGCAAAGCAAAGGTAAAACTCATCTTTTGTTTTGTGTAAACCTCCAAAAAAATCATTGGCAGATTCTGACAGGATGTGCTCTCCAGCAAGAGAATAAAGCAGAATTTCCCAGGGAGCTTGCTACCAAGTGTGGCTTTAAAGCCTAAAAATATCACCAGCTGAGAAGGAAGTCTTGGTTTTGGGAGATGCCCAGCAAACAACCCTAAAATAAAACAACTTGCAATGTTTAAACCACTACCTCCATATATATTTAGAAAAAAAAACAAAATCAACATTTAATGGCATTTCAGAATACAAGCAACAAGAAGGGCACAAAGCAAGTAACAAACTAACATTTTGGCAGAACCAACAAGAGAACAACCATATTTTCCTTCTTAATAAAATACACTTGGAATTATCCTTCTTGGAAAAAACCTAGTTATCTAGTATTTTAATTCACGTGCTGTTGACATGTCCAGATTTCCTTTACTGTTAAAGCCTATTAAAAAACAATGGCTACTTTCATGAAAAGCTAGGACTGATTTTACATTTTTTTAGTCCTCTTGCACATCTTTTCTCTCCACAATTTTTTTTTCTGAAAATAGAGAGAACCAGCCCCACCCCAGATCTTGTTTTACAGCCACTACTGTGTGCACTGGGCACCCTCCTGAAGTTCTGCTGAAATTGCAGGGTGCAAGACAAAAGGATGAGCTGAACAACCAGGAGCAGTGCACAAAGAATTGCAATGGCACAAATGTGGTTCCCCCCAAGAGAAACACCCTGACAGCAGCCAACAGGCACCCATTTGCCAACAGTCCCATGACTCAAACAGATCAACTCAGGTCAACATTTCTTTTTACCAACAGAGGGATAAATGAGTGCAACTTAGCAAAAAATAATGGCAGTCAAAGGATCTCATAAGTCATGAAAGTCATAATGAAGAATAGGCCAGGGCACTTGAAAAAAATTCTTTTCTAAATTACAGCAGCTACACTGACAAAAGAATCAGTGTCATTCTATGTGCAGAGAAGATTAACTAAGAAGTGAATGGTGAAACCATACACAGTCACAAGACACTTGATTTAAATGAGCAAAAGCTGATGTTTCCTCACATTCACTGTTTTGATAATTACTACTAAGACTTAAAAAAATGTTCTGGTATTACCAGCAATAACAGACCAATGCTGTGAAACCCAACTCTTTCTCCACCTCAGAGGGAGCATACATGAGATGTGCTAAATTAATGCTAAATGCTTAATGCTAAAATTGCTTTCAGAACCTGGTCCTGGATCTACCAATTCACATCCCCAACATCTCCTGCAATGCTTTGGCTACCGAAGGTGAGTCTTTCCCCCTCCTCCCTGAAAAAAGGGAGGAACCTTCTTAAGAATATTGCTGACTTTATTCCTGCACCAGCTTTCTTGGAATTGTCAAGATTTTCCATCTGAGTAGCCTGTACTTCGATCTCTTCCACAGTCAAATTTATTAGCAAGTGTGTGTTAAAGAAAAACAACATAGAGAATAAAGGCCTCCTGATTTTTCCAGTTTTGCTGCTGCTGAGCAACACTGAAAACACAGAGCCACACTATCTTAAAAACAGGCATTACTTACATTACACCTATTATATCCTTTAACAAGTCCTGTTGCTTACTTCTGAACTAATCCCAATGAATTTCTTCTAGAAAGCGTTGTGGACACTTATACCAATACAAGTTTTCATAGTACTGCATGCATTTACACAGCTTGACTATTCTTACTTCAAACAAACAGACAGAAGTATCACTAGACCACTGAACCACAACAAAACAGAAGAGATTGTTTTCCCTTAGCTTTAGTAAAAGCTTTGTGCACTCTCTGTGCCACTTGAGACAAGATGGACAAGTGAAACCACACTGCACCATCACACTGCTGGGGCACTTGCATGTCCCCAGAACACAGGTAAGATGTCTTCCTTCCATAAACAAAAATTTAAATCCCAAATTGAAGAAATGCAGTTCATAATCACAAGAGAGCATTCTACATAAGACAAATTAAATGTCTAAAGGAGCCACATACTTATGCTCTGTTAAGTGTCAATACATCCCAGGGTTTTGGTGTGCATTGTCCCTTTGCAGGAGAAGTGTTTTATTACCTTAAGTCTCTGATTGAAAGCATCAAACAGCAGTTTGATTCCATCCTGAGTCAGGTTAAGGATGAGGTCATGGCTAAGAGGTGACTGTAAAACAAAAAAGTAAAAGGTGTTAGGGTTTTAATTTCAAGACTTCTTTGTTAAGATACACATCACTGTAAAAGTATAAATTAGTTATTTTAGAAAAACAAAGCTACCTCAGAAAACAATCACTTGTCCAATGAATAACCATAACTAAAATACATTTGGCAAAAACTCTCAACCTCTTCAATCTCCTTATGAAAAGAAATAGAAATGCCTGTACAATATCTGTGCCCTGCAAAAACTCCTAAAAGGTTACTTTGTCCATTACTGTATGTGGGGGAGAAAACAAAAAACAAAACTCAAAACAATATAACCCCAACCCCATTAAAAAAAACCAGAAAAAACAAAACAGAAACCAAAAAACCCCACCCTGAAAATTACCATTCCCAGTTTAGCATCAGACACATAATCTAGGGACAGCCTCTGGTGCATTCTTGGTGCACAAAAATACCAAGTCTCACATCAGAACCGGGCATGTGCTTGACAAAGAGATGGCTTTCCACTTCAAAAATCAAACTGTCAGTCTTTTTTAGGCCTCAAAAGGAAGGCTTTAGACTCTCATGTTGTGAATTTACGTTTCCTTAGTTACTGTGAATCATAACAACTAAAGGCTTAATTTGCAGTCTGCTGGAGTCAATAGGAGACATTCCATGGCTTTCCTAGTGTCTGTATAGGCTCTATGCCCTCTCAGTCTGCTGGGCAAGCTGCTCATCTACTGGAGAAGCTGTTCTCTGCTCTACCAGCGCAAGCCACACAGCCACCTGGCCCCAGCTCAGCGTTTTGATCATCTACCATCTAAAGAAATTTGCTTCAAAATGCTCTATCCCCCACAGCTGTCTCCTCAGAGGAGAAAAAGGCCGAATGGCAGGCAGGCAGCAAGATTCACCCTAGAACTGCACCAGGCAGTTTTCTAGCAAAAAACAGAATGGGGATGGACAAGTGGAGCAAATAAAGGCTTCTAAAGTGGACAGCCACACCATACAGCCCTTTCATGAATTAAACATAAGCTATCTTACTTCGCTCTACTGAGAGGAGCTCTGGGGTTTGACTGTCAAAAGCCCAATTCTCATCCTCAGTTCTCTCTCATCAGCACTGTTTTCTAGCCTTGCCACTTTCTGAGCACTTTCATGTGCGTGTCCCACCCCTTCACAAACCATATAGTCAAATAATCAGATCCTAGACTTGACATCCCTAGGTCAAAACAAGCCATGGGGCTTTCCATCCCCTGTGATGCAGATTTCCTGTTCCTCTGGATCACTGCAGTAACTTCTCCTGAAGCTGGTCCAGTTTGAGCTCATCTTTCCTGAACACCAGTGATCTGGTTTGTCAACTCTCTCCAAAATGAAACTCTCACAACATTTCACATAACACCATCAATACCTCACTCTCTCCGACAAACTTTGATGGCTCTGTGTAGAACTGAAGCAGCACTGCAATAGAACTATAACCTTGAGATAAAAAGGCCTAATGTTGATTGTCACAGTCATTTTCTAGTCCCTTATAAACCTAATTTAGAAAGCCTGCAGATAGAACAAAAAAAAACCCTTGTAGAATTTTGACATTCAAATACACCAGGAGAGCTGTTCTATGGGATATACTCTGCATTTCACTGGTCTCTAAACAGTTTTCATAACATTATTCCAAAATTAATGAGAGCATTACAAGTACTTTTGAGTGGGTGGGGAAAAAAGCCCCAAACATCTGAAGAAAAGCTTCAGCAAATAGCTGTTCTATGCTGGCATATTTTCTAAGAGATGGAAAGATTCAAAGACCCAAATTTAGTTCATGTGACTTTTAATACACAAAATAGAACCCCAAGTATGAAAGATTATGCCAAGAAACAACAGAAGAGATCTTCCTAAAGGAAGCACCACAGATGTGCAGTTATACTGCTAATCTGCATAAAGATGCAGGAAAAACTGTAATCACTGAACAATCCCATCAACCAAAATCCAGAGGAAGAAGCTCATGAAAACAAAGGCAATTAGTACCCCACTTAAACTGACCAAAAATGAGTTTAAATTATTTTCTTCACAGAAAAGGATTCATCAAGCTTTTTTTGGCACACTTTGGGCATCCCATTTATGTCAAGTTAAAGAGAGCACCATGGGCAGATCTAATTGCATTTAATTGCCATATAAATTTTTGAAAGGAAATACTCACTGCTGGAGTTCCAAGATCAGAAATTCAGTGCTTTAGATGCAACAGCTTTAAATAACATTTGATCACTATGCTCAAAGGCATTCTTTTACAAGGCAAAGAAGAAAAACATGAAGGCTGTTCAGGTACAGTTTTTCTAGATAGAAGTCATGCATGGCAAAGTTAATTTAAAGCTTTGCATCTTCTAAGAACTGAGTTCTTTGTGCTCAGCTGCTAATGAAATGCACAACACTCTGCATGACACTCTCATGAGGGTGAGGACAGAGCCAGACAGTCAAATGCAGGCCCTGAGTGGTGTGCAAAAAAAAAAAATTAAAAAAAAAATAAAAATCAGGCACTGAATTGCAATAATATACAGAAAAAAAAATAATCAAAACTATTCCAGAAAGTTGGGAAGAACTATTTTGTTAAGACTATGCAGATGCTGAAACATTTTTACATTTATGACATTTTGTGGAAAAAATACCCCAAACCACTAAACCTGCCCTCTGCAGACAGAAGTTCAGTTTACACAGTCAATAACAATGTAACTTTCCAAGAGGTGTAAAAGACCAAGGAGCAGTATACCTCTGCTTACTAGCACTGAACTACTAAACCTTCTGTGCTTCTACAAGCTTAGTGGAACAGGAACCATCATTTATCTAAGCAACCCTAGAAATAATTCAAACGCACTACAGTAAGAAAAACCAAAACCTCCAAAGAATACAAAAAACAAGGAATGTGTTTACTGCCAGACAGATGCTCCCATGCATTAATCACAAGGAGACAGATTTGCAATTCAGTCATCATAAAATTTATAAATCTACATAAAGTGAAAAAAAGAGATAATTCATTTAATAATATGAAATATGTATGCAGCACTGAACACCAGAGTCAAGGTTGTTCTTAGCCATTCAGTATTCACTGAAAACGCACAAGGCCTGAATCCTTATTTTGATACAAACTAACATTGTACAGACTCTGCCTTTTTCCTGATGCAAAGAGCTTTAATTTGCAACATATGAATATCATCTTATTAATGTGCATTGCACATAAAACATCTGGAGAGTCCTTTGAGACATCTGAGACTCCTTTGTCCTATCTCGTCTTACACTTCCATCAGAAAAACATATTTTACTTGATCAAGCAGAAGGGTTTTACTTCTAGTCCCCTTTTTGATGGGAGTCAAACCTATCAGGAATTAAATGCTGAGTTTTGAAGAATGATTAAAACATTTTTAGCTAGCTTAAATCACTGCACCCACTTTCTGCAGACAATCTTGCAGATGTGGAGAAGAGGTGCGTAAGGTTTTTCATGGGATTCTTCATCACCATTGGACCAAACACAAAAGCAGAAAGTAATCAGTGATTCAGTTCTTTAAACTGCAGCACCACTTCACAATGATAAAGTAAATAGACTAGAATTAAATTGTCCAGCTAATTATGTAACATTTCACTTCTTAAAGGTAAAACAATGCCACTCCTCCACTGCATATCCAAAACTGATAGCTGTTAAATCACTGAACTGCTATGCTGAAGATTATTACCTCTGACATAAAACTTATAAAAGCTGCATCTCTCGTGCAGGGGCAATAATTTGGTGCAGTTCAATTTCAAATAGCCCCACAACTCACACAATATGTACGTGAGCACAAAGCGTGTCTTAATTCACCATGAGGGGCATTTGCTGGCCAGCCCATGCACTACTCACCTGCTCACTGTAGAGAACCTGGACGTTTTTGATAATGCGACAGTGTTTCTGAAGAATTGCTACAGCCTGAGCCAACGGCATTCCTGGAAATAAAAACAGGTGTATTTCTTCAGTGCAGAGACCAGCTAACAAAGATTTTTAACAGCAAGGTTACTCATGAGGTAACCAAACCACCATCAGCAAACACTGAGTTACAACAGAAAGGTATGTGGTCAACAAACAAGCTGACTTGAGTCATGGTATCAGCACAGACCTGGTGTTTGGAAACAAAAAAGTCATTGTTTATCTACCTACAGTTGTTAGGCATATATGAAAAAAAATATCTCTAGACACAAAATTAAACACCAAAGCTCAAGCAGAAAAAGCGAAGAGCTTGCCACAGCCTGTGCACAGGATTTTCTGCTTTCTGGGGTCATCAGTCCAATAACTGATAAAACAGCTCATATCAGACTCCACCGGAGCTGGCTAGAGCACTGCTATTCACATTCAATACTTTTTATGCTTAGTAAAACACTTTTCATGGCACACGCTTTTTTATTAAGCTTGATGAAGTACTGGGTATTCATACCAGACACATACAAATATTAACACAGAGCAACGATTCTCTTTAGACCTAAAAGGCCACATTAGCCGCTGATATGGCTCTATTTGTGTCAAAGAAGAAACTTTGTATATCTTGTCTGTAAACTGAGAAGATAAACTAAAAATTTGGTTCAACTGAGGCAATACGCTTACAGTCACTCAACTTCTCATACATTTTCAAGGGCTTTTTTCCTTTCCTTATTGTGTATCTTATCTTTACAACTATATATTTCTGAAAGCAGAATGGAACTGCTGATTCTGCAGAAAAAATAGCACCACACCATCTCATCATTTATCACACTAAAAACCTTTGTTGCCTTTCCAAATGAAATGTGATCACATTCCTGGATTCAAAGCAGGCATTTATAAAGTGAGGTTATGAGATCATAATTGTGAAGTTTTATTTTCCTACTAACTGCTGCTAGTCAATTTAGATTAGTTATCTGACATTTTATTTCCATTCCCTGCCCTGTCCTTTCCTATTTCTAATTCTTAAATGTTAAGAAAGTTGGCCTTTCTTAGGGATAATTTACCTCAGAACCTACACTTTTATTACATTCAAAAATTTTAGTTACTAGCTGCACCTTTCAAACTCAGACAGTATATCATGCTTTAAAGCACCTTTTTAGACATTGTCTACAGTATCAAAGTGAGATAACTCTTTCCTTGTATATCTATTTATAACAGACACACCTAGATCACCATGGCTACTGCTTTAAAATAATAATGGCATAACACTAAAAAAAAACCAAACCAAAAACATCATTCTCATTGTCATGCCCATATATTGCAGCTTTGCTGAAATGATGAAATCAAGTTTTGGCAAAACAGATGTACAGATTAGAACTACAGTGATTCAATTTGCAAATACAATACACAAACATGTCTGAGAAACCGGTTTTCACCTTAGCCCATAATCCTGGGGACAATTTGGTTTGCAGCTAGAAATTATACATCAGTAGATGATATTAAGTAAAAAAGAATTATTATTTTAATAACAGTAATGAAATTAAAATGCAGAGCCACACAATAAAGCAGCACTGTTTCCTATTATCTAGGAAATAGCAGTTGCCTTGTAGTCTAGGCAGCAGAGTTTGGAGATGACAGCTATTATGTATTAGATAATATTTTCAAAATGGAACAGAAACATGAATAGCACCAAGAAGTTAAGATCAAAGATGCTGCTCTAAAAGTTCCACATTTCTCAACCTAGTAAAAAGTATGAATCCAGCAAAAAAAGTAAGGTTGATTGAGGAATATAAAAACCACATTTTAAGTCAGTATCATAAAAGACTTGCAGAGCTCAAACCATGAGCTCATTTAAAAAATAAACCAGTGGCACAGGCTGAAGCTCAGCCAACACAGCTGACAGGGCCCATACGCCGATGGTGCCAGCAGCCTGTGAGGATTCAGTCAAAAAGCACCGGTTGAAGTGCAGAAACACCGAGTTTGGGCTGTAGTTTGATATAAACTGATGCAATCCTGGGCTGGTAAGTGTGCAAACAGATGGCTCATGTGACGACTCTCTTACTCACAGTTTTCTCAGGCTGCAAGCAAATGGACATGGACTGGCTTGGTTCAGTTTTTGGTAACTGAGAATCAAACAGATTTGCCCATACAGCTGCTTAGCAGAGCTACAGTGGGCAACCCAAATTCTCCAAGAACAGTTTACAGGACCCAAAATGTGTTCAACAGCCAGTATCCTCCCTCTGCCTCCATTTGCAGAAAGTCAGAGAGATAAAAAAATGGGTTATTTTTCTCCGTTCTTCTCACACACAACATCCCCTTTTTCCTCAACGTTCGCCAGCCTTTGCAGTCAAAGAGGAAAACAAAGAATTCTTTTTCCCTTGCTCATCAGGCAGGGGGAATGGGGAAGCAAATATGGTATCCAGCACATCAGCCAGTCAACCAAACTGAGCCATGGCAGTTAAGGCCCACAGAGACCAGTGCTAGGGCTCTTGTGTCACAGACCTTTTCCTCTTCTAAGTGCTGGAATGATACAAGCAGCACAAGGCAATTCTCTCACATACACTGGTCAGGAACATCATGGCTTGAAGCATCAGCCTACGCTAAGACTGCCTGGCTTGAAGGGATGAGGACAGAAGTGAATAAAGATTAGGAGGAAAATACAAGAAAATCTAAGATGAATCATAATGCATTAAATGAAGATTTGTGAAACTCGGTACAAAAAGAAAGTATAAAGCGCAAGACAAATGCAAGTATGCCTTAGAAATTATACATCTCAAACACTAATAATATAGCTATAGGCACTACAGAATAAGTATTTAATTGTCCTCTAAAACTGCAGGAATGTAGCCCGAGAGGTGCAGTAGCACAGGTATCTAAACTCAGTCTTGGTTAAATTTTTTATGCTCTAGTCACATAGTGAGTCAACACTGGAGCCAGAAACAGAATCCAAAAAGTCATGTACAAAATTTTCCTGGCATTTCCCCTCAATCATCTCCATTGTGGGCACAGTACTGGAAGCCAGAGTCAGCAACAGCTCAGGAACACTGCCATTAGTTCTGCTAAGAGCAGAGCTCAACAAATAATGAGTAGAACATTGCTGGCTGTGAGAGTCCCATTTACACCAGCACTACCAACGCCGCTGCCACTAACACAGCTGAACCAGCTTTGTCAGCAGGGACAATCTTCACACAACATCGCTGCTGCACGACAAAGTATCCAAATACCTAGTCAGCCTCCTGCTCTGCACCAGCAGGTCATGCTAATTATATATTAGACACATCACATGGTGGCTATGTTTACTCCAAGAAATACAGCTGAGTTTCCTCTCTCTCACATCTATGCCTGTGTGTGTGCGTGCACATAAACAGAGACATTGTACAATTTTAACCATGAGACTGCATTAACAGGCTTTCCTTGGGAAAAGGAAAAACATTTTCTCTTTCCTTTTCTTGTTTTGATATGGAAAATGGAGGGGAGCTGGTACTCTATTCATGAAGACAGGGTATGCAGCTGGAGGTTACTTTTCCCCAGGTAACACAGGCACTAAAGGATGGCAGAAGGTCAGGCAAAGCTGAGAGCACAGAACATTTAGGGTACAAGGAGTTCACCAAGATTTCGAAGGGTGGGACCTGAGGTGCTATAATTAGCCTCCAAAAGCCATTTAGCCCCGTCGGTAACCATCAAGTTGTACTTGACTGAAGTCACAGCAGCATAAACAGCCCTTTGTGTTTGATGGGTTTCATATAAATAACTCCAAGGCACAACACCACTCCTTAGGTCCAACCTAGTTAAGGACAACTGTGTAACAGCGTCTTTAGGAACAGTCTGTCCCTTCCCTGTCACAGGTGACAAGTGCAGCAGCCCAAGTGTAACTCAAGTTCAAGACGGCTGACACACAGTGCCTTGTTTACATCTACCAAATTCCTATCCCCATTAACTTCACACAGTGCTACAGCAATGATGGAAAATGGTAATAAAAGAGGCCAACACTGATATGACACAATCACTCAAAAAAGGTGATATTGACTGTATTTTCTGAGAGTTTTAAGGACTACCAATATCTGCTTGAAAACACAGGTCACCTGAAGAATCCACACCATCTCATTTCAACTGCACGTTTAAGTGTCCCTCCTGAGCACCAGCCAAATTTGCATCAGCTGGGGGCAAGTTCTTTCTCATCACAGTACATAGAGCAATAACTGGTAGGGAAGGACTAGTCAGCGAGATGAAAAATACCAATGATTGGGGGTGGAAAACACTTGTCATCTAACCCTGAGAAAATATCTCCAAAGTTTACTTTCTCCACTATTTCGCAACCCAAAGAAATTGTGAAACTCGACTCATGTTTATGAAGGGTTCGTACAGAAAAGCACAGCATTTACAGTAAATATCAGTTCACAGCTGAAGCTGCCAATATCACCTGACACATATTCAGGTGACAATCAGTACATTCATGCTTCCTCTTTTAGGAGTTATTTAAAAGAATGACTAGTCTCAGATGGCAAGACAAAAGAAAACAAACGAGCAGATGAAAGCACAGTCAGATAAACAAAGCACAAGTTGGCACGCAAAAGTCAAGACGAAACTATAAACTACAAGGAAATCCTTAAAGCTCGTACTTTAGTATTTTTAGCGACGGCGAAAGGTGAGCTTTGGCTCTCCCTCCCTTTCTCTCACCAACTCCCCGAAAGCACCGGGAGAGGCCTTACGGACACAGGATGCCGAGGGGAGCGCATCGCCCCTCTCACGGCCAGGGCCGGGGAAGGAACACACTCACCTAAGGTGAACTCCCATTGCTCGTTCCCCAGAGACCGCTCGGGCACCACCTCCAGATCTAGCATTGGCTCAGGTAGCGCGGAGGCCGCGGGCTGGCACGGCGGGTCACCGGGTCGCTGCGCCGGACCCCTGCGGGAGGGACGCGGGAGGGAAGCGGGAGGGAAGCTCGCAGCCCGAGCCCGGCCCCGCCACCGCCCCCTGAGGGGACTCGCCGCCCCCAGCCCCCGGGGGCAGCGCTGGCTCACAGCGGGGCCCCCGCGCCGGGCCGCGAGGGGGGAGGCGCGGGCTCCGCCGCTACAGCAACCGGCAGCCCCTCCCCGCCCCGCGGCCCCGCCGCCCGCGCCCCCCGCCCGCTCGCCCCGCCCGGTCCCGGAGCGCGGGCGGCGCGGCCCCGGCGGGGCAGGGGAGCGGCCGCGGCCCCGCCGCTCGTCCCGGCGGTCCCGGCCCGGCCTGAGGGGCCGGGGGGGCTCCGACCCCCCCCCGCGCCGCGGGGCCGCGACTCACCTCACTTGCGGCTGCTGAAAAAGTGCTTTGCAGCTGTCGTCAGGCGCGCCCGCGCGGGGGCGGGGCGAGGGCGGGGCCGGGGGTGTGCGCCCCGCCCCCCGGCCGTAGACGAGGGGGGAAGGCGTCGGCTTGGCGAGGGGGAGCACCGGGTTCGAGTCCCGGCCCCGCCCTGTCGGCAGACGAGGCTCAGAGCTGCTGCGGCAGCCCCCGTTACACCCGACGCGATAACCTCGGGATTCAAAACAAAATAACCAACCCAAACCACAGCCCAGGGCCATCCAGTTTTTCCAGTTGAAAGGCCAGAGTGGAGGAAAGAAGAGTGAAGGAGGAATTAGTCAGTGGCACGAGCAGAGTTACCGGAATGAGCTCGGGAGTGACTCAGTGAGGAAGAGAGGAACGAGGTCACTGGCTTTGCAGTGTTGCCTGAGCAAACAGGACTACTGCCACCCAAGAGTTCTGACCCCAGGAAAGCCCACATTTCCCTTGGAACGGGGCTCACCACGCAGGAACCTGCTTTGGTCACGCCCAAAGGCCCCAAAAATACCCACAGAGCTGAGGAGAACTGAACCCCCCCAGTATGCCAGGATGTGCCGCCACCCAGGACAACCCACATCAGACCAGACCTCGTTTTTATGGTGGAAACTTGATCCAAGATGAAAGGCACCAGGTTAAGCATTGCCCAAATAGGCACAGAACCAAAAGAGAAAAACCAAGGATATGGACCCGTGCCATGCTCACACAAAGTGACACCTCTGGAGCAGGGTGGCACTGGTGGTGATGGAAATTCAAGAGGGTGCAGAGGGTGTGGAAGCAGCTGTAATCCTTCTGTTGGCAGGTTGAGGCTCCAGGAGGGGCAGAGGACTAAGGGGGGGATGCATTTTTTCCGTATTTATTTGAGGGTGGTAGCAGAAAAACATCTCCTTGGGTGATACCCATCTTCTGTCCCCTGTCCCCTGCTGCATCCCTCCAGGTGGTGATGCTCAGTCCTGGCCTGACCCCACGCTCCATCCCTGTGCCCACCATGTCCCAGCAAGGTCTGCAGCAGGGCAGCCCCATCACATGGGCTGTCCCACAGCAGGATAGAAAACATCAGTAAAGCACACCCTTCAGGCAGCCCAACACAGGAATCTGAGGGTTGCATATTTTGAAAAAAATAAAGTCAAGCATAATTTCTTCTAGGTTTGGACTGGAACTCCTTCCCACAGGCAGAGCAAGCCATAACTGGCAGGGGGGATCAAAGCATTAAAAAGAAATCCCAGTCATGTTTGGGAGCAGGACCTTGGCCAGGCTCTACTCTGATCACATTTCTCAGCATCTCTCTTCAGGTCACAGAGCTGTCTAAACTCTGAGGTTTGATCAAAATCAAAGGTGAGATTTTAATGTATATGGCATGGAGCAAGCCCCAGGGAAATTACTTTTCCCTTGAAGTCAGCTGCATGTTGCTCTATTTATTATTCATGCCTTGCTTGCTTTTTTATTTTTAATCCAAGCATGGTGACATCTTAATATGCTGAAAAGCACTGAGGTGCTGCCAGTGTTTCCCCTTCACTCCAGCCCTCTGACACATCTTTATTGGCTCAAAAAAAGAAATTAGCCTTTCCTCTCCCAGGAGCAGGGCTAATTCTTATGAGCCACTTGCCTCTCTCCAGCTCACTATAGATGTAGGAAAAAAATATATATATATTTGTATATATTCAGTATTTGTGTATTGTTTATATGTAAGTTCATACTATGACACCTATAAGGAAGGTATCATATAATATCATATCATGTCATATAATATATATTTAATATATTATATAATGTATATATTATATAATATATATTATATAATATAAGAAAGTACTAATAATATAACATACTATCATATATATGTAGCTAGAAATTTTGCATACCTCATTCATTTAACAGAACAAAAAGTACAGCCCCTACTTTTAAGCAGGTCCACAGCACATTCAGCCCCCAGGATGAGGTGCTGGGTAGAAAACAGGTGGGTACAGATCAGTTTGTGCTTTGCAGAACCCTTCTCCACCTCATTTCTGTGCCTGATGATGCCCTTTGACTGCCCAGTGCTGCAAACTGGGGGATACAACAGTCTGGGATTTCATTAAAATCGAACCCCCAGGAGTGACTGGAGGAGCCCCCAGGCTCCCCAGTGACTCCAGGCAGGGCGACACTTTTGAGGCAGATTTGGCAAAGCAACATCATTTTGGCAACTGCTCATGACAGGGAAAACTTAAATTTTAAAAGTATAAAATTACCCTTCTTACTCCCCAGATTATGGAGCACTTCTTGGAAAATTCAGCCCCAGGGCTCAGGAAGCAATGCACAGCTTTCTGAAAATCATAATCAATTTTTAAAGGCTGGTTCTGTTGTTAATGTTTCTGACTGAATGAATGGCATTGGGTGCATCCATTGGAGATGCTTCTACCAAAGCTTTGTGATCCCATCACATTTGGGGGTGAGATCAGCAGCTATAAGGGATTAATGGATTTTTACCGATTTTTTCTAGAATTTTTCTGATTTTTTTTTACTTAAGTTTTTTTGTTTTTTTCTAAATTCTACACGTCAGCGGGGAGATGTTGGCTCTGAAGAGCTGGGCTTTTCAATCCAGCTGGTTAAAAGAAAGCAGAAAACACAAAAGTCACCAGGAGGGACAAAAGCTCCCCAGGGCTCGCAGGCGTGGGATGCAGCGTGCGCAGAGCGAAGGAGAGCTGCCCTCTCCCGATCGGATTCAAGAGCAGCACAGAGCAGGTCTGTGAGGAAATCTGCCCTGTGGCTGCTCGTAAAAATGGGTTGGAAGCAGATCCCAACCTTGGCAGCTCCTGATTGAGTTGGAAGAAAGATATTTGCTATAAAGCTCTGAAGTTGCTCTGATTTTTTTGGAGGTGCATTTCCTGCTGCGAGGCTCTGGGTTGGCACTCAGGAATGAGTCCAAACAGGGTTGGAGCTCCAAGAGGGAACCTTACACTCTCTAGTGGGGGGATTAGCCCGCCTCTTCAGGGGGATTTATCCCACAGCCAAGGGTTTTGGGTCCCACCGAGCTGGGCAGTGCCCCATCAGTGTCAGGCTGATTGTCACAGCTGATGATGAGGAAGGGCCATGGGGTATGAGAAGGAGGGAGGTGGGGTCAGCCCCCTACACCAGCCTGCTCCAGCCATGGTGTTTGGGGTTTCACCATTCAGAGGAAGGTGAGTTAGAGCTGCAGGGGCCCTCTCAGAGCCCCTGAAGATCTCTGCCCATTTTGCCACTGACTTCTGGTGGATGAGCAGTGAAGGTGTGATCTGAATTTTATTCACAGGCTGTGATGGATAGAACCAGCCACAGAGATGCTCTTTGAGCCTTGCTCAAATGCAGTGCCCTCCGGTCCCACTGGCACATCCTGCCCTGGATGCAGAGCTCTGGATGTGGAGAGGGTTTGAAGGAGCTGGTGAGGAGGCACCTTGTGGGGGTTGGTGGTTTCAGAAAGTGACGCAGCCCCTGGGACCACCAGCACCAGGTCCTGGCAGTCATACACCAGATGTGCTCTGCAGAGCAGAACTGAAAGCAGAACCAAAAAGAGGATCTGTCCTCTCCTCTGTGTGGGAGCATCCGCCAAGTGGCTCTGGGCTGGGGCTGCCGGTGCCAAAAAAGTGTTTGGGGGTTCCTCAGCAGCAGCTCTGACCTGAGCAGAAGGCAATCACTGGGCAGCTCAGGGACAGTCTGTGCATGCAACTCTGCCTGTCCCTCCCCTCCCTCCTCGCCCTGGCCCCCAGACCTCAAACACAGCCAGAGCAAATGACCTGGAAGGTTCCCTGCCCATCACGGCGTGGGCTGGGCTAAATGCTCTCTAAGATTTCTTCCAGCCCTCAGCATTGTATGATTCTGTGACCTGGAGCTGGATCACAGCTGGCTCTCATGCAGGGCTGAGCAGCCCCAACTATCCTCCTCCTCCTCCTGGGCTGCAGTAGCTGTGGGCACAGACTCCTGGCTCCATGGACAGGCTACTCAGGCAGCTGCAGGCTGGTGGCAACCCTCTGGTTGGCTGGGGCAACTGGGGAAGGCCAGTGAGGAGCTGGATGGTGCTGGAAGGGGATTGCAGCATCTCACCTCCAGAGCAGGTGTCTCACTGTGGTGCTGCCCCACGCAGGGGCTGCAGTGCTGTGAAGGACAGGGCTGTTCAGCTCTTGGTGGGGTGGGAGGGGACCTGGTGGTTCCTCTGGGTAGGTGGCACATCATTCTAGGAAGTGAGATGCTCAGCAGCCTTCCTGGGTAGAGCTGCCTCTTTAATAAGAATTGTCTTCTGGTAAGAGTTGTCCCCACCACGGCTTTGCTTGCAATCCAGCAGCAAACCCACATTGCCTCCACCAACCTCTCTGCTCTCCTCCAAGCTTAGAGCTCCCAGGGTTTAACTAGCAGGCCACTCCCCCTGTGCACCTCTGCTGTGAGGGGCCAAAGCCCTGAAATTCTTCCAAAATCCTGCAACAGCAGCAGAACCACCCCAGTCATCTGCTTCAGTAAGAGTCACATGGGCAGTGACCAGGGACAAGTGCATCCCGCAGACAAAAAGCTTTGGTTCCCTTACACTGCTTGTTTCTCCATGCCTAAACTTTGCTGGGTTTTTGTAAGGTATGAATAACAAAAGCTGAAAGGGTTGGGCATGCAGGTGGGAAAGGGTCAGAGGGACAGAGTCTCCCAGCAAGTCAGTGGATAACAGCTGGAAAAACCAGGAGCTTCCAGGTGTAAACTTTGCTCCTTCTCTATAAGGTTTCTTTCTCTTTTCAAGTGAAACCCATTACTCGCTCCAGTGAAGAAAGAAGATTGCAAAGAGAGAAAGGTGTCAAAGCCACCAGTTCCTATGAAAAGTAAAGCCTGTAGAACAAGAGAAAGTGGAGCCCCAGGAAAAGCCATGGCCTCCAAGACCCCATCATCAAGTCAACAGGGTAGAGAACAGTTACATATCAGAAGAGTTGTGGGAAGCAACAGAGACTTGGCAGAAGTCTCACCAGCTGTGATAAACAGTGGACTAGGCCCAGTAAGAGGCACAAAACTGAGCAAGAAGCATCCTGGTTTCCCAC